AACCAAGATGCATTATGTAAAGGTACAATTCCCAATGAGAAATGTAATTGTGTTGTATACCTACAATGTACCAATAAAAGAATTTAATAAAGTGAAAAAAAATGCAAACTGTGAACTGGAAGAGATTCCATACAACAGCCAACACACTTTAATACCTAAGTAAACATTTCAATCTTTCATATCCCTATTACAGGGCAAATTTAGTAGCTTGTGGATTATTTTGGCATTAGAAGGAAAATAGGGAAAAAAGAGACAACAATACTTGAAGGACAGGGAGGTAAAATAGAAGCTGGGATCGGAGGGAAATTATAGGCTCACTCCTTTCCTTTCCTATCCATGGAAACTATTTCTGATGCCGCCAGAACAACTTATATCTGAGGTGAAGGGAGGGAGAGAAAGCAATGATGCCTAGAGCTAAATCACTCAGGGGCTATGAAAATGTTTTGATTAACCCATGAAACCAATTTTCCTGGTAATATAAATACAGCACTGTAGTGAGAAGCTTTGATTTATTAAGAAGAGCATTATCATTTTCCAAATATATAAAATTCATCAGTGTCATGTGTGATAGTCTCTTATTGCATATGCCTTCATATCCTATGCTGGGATGATAGATGATAAATCTTTGTGTGTGTGTGTGTGTGTGTGTGTGTGTGGTGCTCAGGATTGAACCTGGGGTCATGGCACTAAGCTACATCCTCAGTTCTTTTTAATTTTTTATTTCAAGTCAGGATCTTGCTAAATTGCTCAACTGCCCAATCTGGGCTTGAATTTGCAATTCTGCCTCAGCCTCCCAGAGTGCTGGTATTACAGGCATGTACCACCACATCTGGCTAATTCTTAATAATAAATTAACCTCTGAGCTGATTTTAGTGGCTCATGCCTATAATCCCAGCACTCAGGAGGCTGAGGCAGGAGGACTGGTAAGAGGAATTAGAGGCCAGCCTGGGCTACATAGTAAGACCCTGTCTCAAAAAACCTAAAAAAAAAATTAACCTTTGAGTCTTTGAATGTGATCGCAGAATCTGAACTACCTGTGGATGTTGACAGATCCATTACTGCCGAGAAATTTGCGTAAGGACGGATTCTTTATTAACTGCAGTCACTGGTATTTGTCTAGTTACTCCCTTCTTCTTAATGGACCAGGCACCACCTTTCTGCTCATTTAGAGGCCACAAGATGTGCAGTGCTCAGTATTTCCCTAAGACTGGGCAATTAAATTAATGATTGTCCTCTATATTTCCTAGTGTGGTTTGATCACACAAAACAATGAATAATTTCTATGTTTCCGAATTAATGAGATCTTATTTACAGGTTCTAGGAGGCATAATTTCCAGGGTGACAACAGCCATAAAGGCTTTTTAAGGTGCCATTTATAGGTTTTGCCTAACTGCGTGGTTTTAGTCACTATAAAATATTAGTCACAATCCAAAGTCTAATGATGACCTCATATAACTTTTTAAAGAACAATTGTTTCCTAAATAAAATAAACCATTCCTCTCATGATTACTTATATCTTAGAATGATATATCTTTAAAAATTTTCATTCAGTGCCTGCCATGGAGGCATATACCTATCACTCTGGGAGGCTGAGTCAGGAAGCTCAAAAGCTCAAACCCAGCCAGGACAATTTTGGGACTTAGTGAGAAAAAAAATTAAAAGAGGAGGAGGTGCTGCAGATGTAGCTCAGTAGCTCAGTGTGAAGGTTCTGGGTTCAATCTCCAGTAGCACAAAAGCAAGCAAACCCATTGCATTCAGTAATCTTAAAAAGCAGAATATGCAAAATTTACATTTTAAAAAGTACATTTTCAAAAGATGTCAAGATGCAATGATTTGCTATTGCATGAAAATATTTATGTAGTTTATTAACATGCTGTAGAAAATATTCAGTTGAATAAACTTGAGTACCTACTATGTATTGTTCTTTCCAAGAGTGAGAGATGAATAATGTGCTTTCTACAAATATTAAGACTAGAGGAATAAAAGGTACACAAATGGCTACCATAGGAAGAAAAATGTGAGGATTATAAGAAAAAGTGCCCAAAAAAGGAGTAAAAATGAAAATTCTTTTGGATAATTTGTAAGGTTTACTTTTAAGTGGCTAAAATGTCTCCTATCAGAGTGCGTTGTTTTTGGTTTTGTTGTTATTGTTGTTTCTGAATCAGGGTCTCCCCATGTAGTTCAGGGTGACCTTGAACTTACTACATAGCCAAGGCAGGTCAGGAACTCCCAGCAATTCTCCTGTCTCAGCCTCTGACAAACATTATCTGGAGTGCTGCGATTCCAGCTTGTTTCACCATGCCTGGGTTGGGTGGTTTCGATTCCTACAGGAGACCCTAAGGGTAGCAAATCGTAACAAATGTGTGCCACTCCAAAGCCATTAATACTAACAAGAGTTCTCATAAAACTGTGAAATGGATACAAATAACTTCGGTACTTTTCTTTGTACTTTAAAAAGTATAATGTAGCAAATAAAAATTTAAATTTCAAACTATATATCCAGTAGAATTCTTGCTTTTCTCAATAGGGAGCAGCTGGTAACCACACGGGGACTCCCCTAAGTAAACCAACATTCTACTCAAACCAATATTAAAGGAACTGCTGCGAGACTCCGGCACTGGTATCCATCTTTAAAAAGTTCTCCACCTGATTTTAATGTGTAGCCAGGATTGCAGCACCGGGCTGGATTGCTGTCAGGCAATTTCGGTCTTCCTAATAATGAATTTATTTATTTATTTATTTATTTTGCTCTTTCTCCTTTCTGGTCCAGTAAATAATAAGGATTTTCCAAGTTCTACTTTCCAATGTTATTTTTATTCACTTCACTTACTACGTGCCAGCCAGGATGCCAAGCTTTTTAAATCCATCTTTCTCATCTCATTTTCTTGTCAAATGCTGAAGTAGGTGCCACTTCTAAATAACTTGCCCTCAACGGAGCCCAAGCTCTTGCTCATTTTGCTACACTTTTTTTTTTCTCTAACTCCTGATAGCGAACTGTTGTGCAATGGAAGACTCGGCGGTGATAAACGTTATCTGGGAAGAGCAACAAGGAACAAACAGATAAATGACACAAGAACAGGTGTGGAAGACACCTGGAGGAGGAAGCCACACCGCAGGGCCGACCAGATCTTCCAGATCCCCAATTCCTCAGACTCCCCAGTCTGCCTACCGGCGATCCCTTCCTCCACCCCTACTTAGCAACAAATCCCTGGTCCTTGTTGGCCAATGTCAAGGCCAGAGTAACTTATAAACGTACAGAGGAAAACCTCGAGTATTTCCCATTACTGGAGACGGAGAGCAGTCTTCGGCAGCTCCCATCTCAGCCTGCCCGACTCCGAGAAGGCAGCGAACGCCCGGGGGCTGCCTGGCTCAGGTTCCCGCTGCGAACTGCCGGCCGGAAGGGCCCGGCCAGCTCTGCCACCCGCGGGGATGGGCGAGGTGGGCGCGCCCGACCAGCTGCCTGCAGGGCGGGCGTGACTGAGGCTGTCCTTGTCCGGGAAGACAGACGGCCCAACCTTCGAGCTCGGGACACCGACGTAACGAAAAGGGATGCAGGCTGGCGCCCTGCGTCAGGCTCAGGGGCGTGCGGTGCCCAACCCGCAAGGTTCCCTCAGGGCTGCCGCGCACCCGGTTGCCAGGGCAACCCTACGCGGCTGGCACCCCGGCGCTCGCGGCCGGAAGTGACGCGCATTCACCTGCCGAGCGGACGGGTGGGGGAGGGGCGGGCCGAGGTGCCACAGCCTCTGCAGCCGCCGCGATTCAGTCAGGAGTGCGCGGGCGACGCCAGACCCAGACCCGGAGCTAGAGCCGCCTACCTGCAGCAGCGGTCGCCCACGGCCCGGCAGCACCATGGCTCTTCTGCTGCGCGTCGTGCTCCTGTGCGGAGTCGCCGGTGAGTGGAAGCCGGCGGGTCCGCAGCGCTCTCCCATCCCAGGGGCGCTCGCTGCCTGCGGCCACCCGGAAACAATGGGCGTGGGGGAGGGGGCGGGCAGCTTCGTGCCGCGGGGTTTGCTCCCCCGTGGGAGGCGGGAGGGGGCGCGGGGCGCGTGGGGTCCTGGTCGGCAGAGCCCGAGGCGGCCGGGGTGCGGGGACCCACTCGTGCCGGGTGCGCTCTCGGCCTCCCTGAGCCTTCTCCGCTCCCCGGGCGGCTCTGCTTTATTTGCTCCTGCCGGGTCCGGTGTTACCTCCCGTGTCGTGGCCGTGCAGCATTACCCGATTTCCAAGCCCGGGGCGGCAAGTTTTCAGGTATCGAGTATAGTCCGAGCCAGCAGGCTGAATTACAAACGCCATTATTCAATGCACACCGAGCTGTTTTGTGCCTCGAATCGTCCTAGAGACCTCTAGGAAAGAGGCGCGGGAAGAGCACCAGCGTATACAGTCTCGGTCCTATAGAAGGGCTTAGCTTGGACCAGCCAGAGCTGGTAACAAGACGAGAAATTCTGAAGAAGACCGTGGGAAATCTAAAGTAGGTGCCTGCAGAAATGCAGTATTGATGCCTGCATTCCCGGGTAAAGTGTAAAGGGAGCGTTTGGTAACCTCCGTTTGAGTTTGTAATGATTTGGTTCATTTTGAAGATAAGACGTGGTGAGCTGCACAGGGTTAACTCATAAAGGTTCGCCAAATACCTTTTTCTGGGAGGAGAAAAAAGGCGCTTAAAAAAATGCCTGAAACATTATAAAAGTGGTGTTTCCATGTCTGTATTTAACCAACTGATCTTTGTCAGACTAAGCACATGCCTTCCAACCAGACGCTTCATTAAAAAATAAAAATCCATAGGTAGTACTTTAGGAGGCGTATTGTACTTTATGTAGCCTCTTGAAGGAATTTTTTTTTTTAAGTACTCAGAACTAGGATCAGGTGGCTCTGTCTGTTGGGATGGCTCCCTGCTTCCTGTTGAAATGTTAATTCCATTGTTGGATGCCACAGCTGTGAGCTGTACTCCTGGGACCACATTCTATTAGCAAGTCTAATCTTCAGTCAGAGGCTATAGCACTGCCTCCCTCTTTTTTGATACAAATCATTTAAGTTTGGCCGAAATTTCCAAAGTAAATCTGGAAAACAGGAAGGGTTACACAACCACTTTACATGGTACAGCCCCACCTTTGTTTCGTCAAGGCTTAAACTCAAGTTGAACTTGAGAACAAAAGGTTTGTCTTCTCTGAAAAAAAAATGTTTTAGAACACATCTAAAGCAGAAAAGTGGAAGAACAGAAACCACTAAAAGGAAATTTTGTGTGTAGGGGGCTAGGCTCTTCAGTTACTTTGATTTTTTTTTTTTCTTGGAGTGCCTCACTTTGATAGACACAATCTTAGCTAGTGATGTTTTAATACATACAGTCATTCTCCTCATAGAGTGCATGTTAGGGTGTAGTGAACATGTCATTAAAGGGCTAATGTCTTCAGCTAAACAAGACAACAATTTTCCCCGCAATTTTTCAGCTTAAACAACTCAGAAACTGGAGTTGATGTGTGGCTTTGAATATTTCTTTAGATATTTCTGACCATCTTAGAAATGCATTGTTATCAATGGAAGTTCAGCATTAACATGTTTAAATCTTATATTGGCAGAACTAGGCTTGCATATTAAGTTTCAGTGCTATAGTAATATCTATTCTAGATTTGTCTATATAGATTTTAAAGAGTTTTGTAGTATACTCCGGTTGCTGATGGGATTGCCCATGTAATAGTAAGTCAATATTGTTAGTAATAATAGTAGCTGGAATAATAGAATTGTGGCAGTAGCAGTGGTAGTAAAATTAAACCCTTGGCTGAATAAATGCCCAACACTTTTCTAAGGGATTTACATATATTCACTTAGTTTATCAAACAACCTTTGATATTTATTATAATTATTTCATTTGTACAGGTAGAGAAACTGAGATACAGAGTAGTTACATAACTTGCAAAAGTCACATATTTGCTCTTCAGTCTGCTCTTACTATCCTGTTACACATCTCAAGTAGCCATTTTCCTCTTTGATTGCCTCGAATTGGCATCCTAATTTCTACCCCTGGTCATCCTGCTGTTGGTTTGAGTTTGTACCAAGAACCAGAGGGTTTTATTACTAGGTTTTTAGTTTTGTTATCTTAGTTGAACACTTGAGGAACTGAGAAGTCTAGGATTCTCCCAGGCTTAGATTGGTGTTGGAGACTAATGTGGTCCAGGTAACAGCAGCATTTACATTACAGACTTTAATAGAGTGCTGCTGATTTTGTGATTACTACATAAGTGAAATTTTAAAAAGTCCATTCTACCAACCACCTGTTATCCACTTAGTGGCAAAGCCACTGTCCTCTGTATGCCTCAGTTGCTTTATATATAAAGAATAGAAATACTGGTGAGGCTGGAGAGATATTGATCAAAAGATACAGCGTTTCAGTTAAATGGGAGGAATAAATTCAAGAGATCTGTTGTAGTGTATTCTAGCCTTTAAAATGGCTAAGGGTAGATTTTACATCTTCTTGCCACACACACACACACATGCACACAAAGTATCATGTGTATTTTAATTAGCTTGATATATGGTCATTCCATAATGGTTTATCTCTTTTTAGTCTTCATGCTCTTCTGTTTTACTTCCCTGCTTCAGTTGCCAAAGGTAATGATAACCCATGTACCAAACAGATTTATCTTTTTGGAGCTCCTTGACAATCTATTTTGGTTCTTTCCAACCTTGTTGACCTGCCCTTCACTGCCTTCTAAAATAGGTCCCTTAAATGTCAGCTTTCCCATAGTTTAGATCAAAGTCCTTTTCTCAGTCTCCATCTTAAATGTGAGTGATGTCATCTATCCAAGGAGGTAACTTCCAAGTAGTTGCTACTAAATGAAAAATATTTTTAGCTCCGGTAATTTCTTTGGATTCTGCACCATTATTTTCAGCGATTTTACAGTGCACTTCCTGAGTGCCTCAGACTAAGTCTCCAAATAAAATTATGCAATAATTAATTGATTAAATGATCTAGTCATTCAGGTATTTATGGCCTACTATGTACTGTGCCCCCTGCTAGGTAACCCTACAACAGTATATAATGCTGCAAGTTGAAAAAGGTGTAGAACATTCTAAGCAGATGGTACAGTTTTGCAAAGACATGGATATCTGAAGGATATGATGTGTCTTGGGAGTTGAGAAGTTTAGTGCATATAAAGTATCTTTACCAATACTACTCTGACTTCTGAGGTAGTTCTGAGTCATAAGACCTAGGGTGGGGTCAAAATTTTTTTCTTTCTAATAGATTGTGCATGATGTCACTGCTAACCTCATTTCAAGTGGCAAAGATCTAAAGGCTCTGCTGACAGCTTCATGGGAGCTCATAGGTCGAGTAACACCCCCACCCCTATCCCCCACCCCTCCCTCACAAGAACAAAAGAAGGTTGTGGAGGTGTTGAAGATGTGAGGTTATGCACTAAGATTTAGTCTCTGGAATGGTAATCGTGCAGGTGGACCCAGTACTTCTAACACAGAAGTTGGTCTGGAATGATCTGGAATTAAGCAGTCCCCCTGGAAACAGCAGAGCAGTGTTGGGCTTTTCTGAGGAACCTGCAGTTGAACCTGATGTCTGGTTGCCTTAATGGGTGGTAAGAGAAAGTTGGTGAGAGGCATTAAGATTTCTGTTTTGGTTATATGGTTAGGACTGGTAGCATTGAGGTGCCTAGAGAATTCACTGATGATAGGCTTCAACTTTATAAAACTAATCAAGCTGAGCAGTAGAACTAAGGCAGAGGTTGAAACCTGAGGTGGGAGAAACAGCCTCTAGTGAGTACACAGAAGATGAACCTGGGAATGTGAAGGAGTGGTAGGGGATGTAGAACTAGAAGGAGGGGGTATCCTAGAGCCTGATGGAGAAATGAGGCCAGTCTTAACAGGAGGAGACTCTTTGAGAAAGTCAGGTGGTTATCAGTTCTACAGAGAGAACAGTTTCTTTAGTGGCTTGAGTAGAGCTAGATTTTAATAGGTTGAATGGGCATCAGGGTAGGCAAAAATGAGAGCTGTACTTGGTACTTGTATGTGATTTGAGAGTGAGGTGGTGTTCATGTGGCTTTAGTTCCAGATAGTGTGAAGGTGCCAGCAGATGAGGACTGTCAGCTTTTCTCTAGACCCAGCACCTTGTTCACATCATCATTCTTCCCTGTAACACTATTCCTCCTTCACATTAATTGCTGAATTTTGGGGTTTTTAAGGAATGTCCCTTTACTGTCCCATCTCTTATAAGATCCCATCAACTTTAAGCTTATTTATCCCTCTTTATATCCCTTCAACCCTGGACCCCCCCTTCAATACTTCTCTTTACTTTTGTTGTTTTAACTAGATTTCCTGAAGGAGTTGCCTGCATTTATTGAGTCCATTGTTCTCTTCCTGTCTCTTAATTCTTCCATTCTTTGAAATCTGATTTTCACCACCTGTACTCCTATGAAACTGTAGCTGTAGACCATAGTTACCACTGTGACTACAGCCAGTGGACCCATCACACTGTTAGCTTCTTTAACAACTCAGCACAAACTGTTCTTTTAAACAATCTATTTTCTCTCATTCATTTTTCTCCCAGTACCATAAATGCTGAAGTTCCTCAGTTAATGGTTTCACTTACCATTTTTGTGCTTACTAGCAACTGTGCTCCAGTTGCTTTGTACTCTTTCCCCAATAATGATCCATAATGGGTGGGGGATTTATGCTCAGTGGTTCCGCCCCCTGCCCCGAAACTGCAAGGTCCCAAGTTGTATCCCTGGTACCAAAAAAAAAAAAGTTGATCCATAATATCAAACCACCCGCTTCACATCTTAATATAGATTTCTCACAAGCATCTCCAACTGAACCTGTTAACACACTGACCTTGCTAACATGAAATGGCATTTTCAGCCACCAGAATGCCCAGGCAGAAGTATGAGTATTTGATAT